GATCTTTTCTTGGTGACCAGATCTTTCATAAATTTGGCATTACCGGGCATTTGTTGTATAGCTTCTACCAAAGGGACATTGATAGAAAGTTGCTTCAACATTGTTATGAAATGCCGGTATTTACCATCCTCGGTATTTTTCACTAATCTCTGAGGGAAAGGTGGTGGTGGCCTAGGAATGGGAACTACCTTCATAGGTACTTCCGCATCTTTTCCATTACTTTCCTCTGCTTCACCACTACCCTTTAACACATTATCATTATCCTTTCTCACATTTTCCTCAGTAGACGGCATAGGTGGGTCAATGGTTTGCTTAACACCCCAAGTAGTGATTACCATACAGTGCGTATCATTCTTTGGATTTTGGACAGTGTTGCTAGGAAGAGTGCCCGATTTCCGTGTGTTCACTGTCGCAGATAATTGGGCCATTTGCAATTCGATTTGTTTAATCGAAATTGCATGTGTATCTACTTTTTGCCCAATACTAGCTAAATCACCCCTTAACTCTTTAATGTGCTCATCACTAGCATCGAACCTCCTCATCATTTTGTGCAACATATCTTCAACTCGCGCCACACTATCTCCACCATCCCTAGGAGTAACTTCACGATTTTGAGGAGGGACGTAGGGCCCATTCCTGTCGTTTCTATTAGCATAGTTACCCCTGTTAAAGTTGTTGTCACGGCTGTAGTTTCCATCTCAGACATAATGACCCTCACGGTTGTAGTTACCATAGTTCCGACCTTGGTTCCCTTGACTTTGGCGCCAGTTATCCTGATTTGAGCCTTGGGCGCGTGGTCGGAAACCCCCTGTCTGCTCATTTATTGCATAAGTGTATAATAGCATTCATCATTAGGAGGTGGTGGTTTTGCCAAGTAGTTGACTGCAATTATCTTTTCTGCACCCCAGTAACATGTTTTAGTACCAACCCAAGCTCGGTTCTCATCTGAGCCATTTCTTCACGAATCTCATCTGTGGCTGGGTTGTGAGTGGACTGCATTGCGAAGGTGTTTCTCCCTCTATCAGACTTCGTAGTACTCCAAGCTTTGTTATTTCGGGAGATTTTATCTAATTTTTCAGCGATCTCAGCATAAGGACACTCCCCATAAGATCCACCTGCTATAGTATCCAACACCGCTTTATTGTTATCATCTTGTCCCCAATATAAGTATTCCTTCAGTGACTCATCATCTATACGGTGATTTGGGACACTTCTCAAGAATGAGGTGAATCTATCCCTGGAACTACTAACTGACTCTCCTGGTAGTGCCACAAAGTTGTTCACTCTGTCTTTGTGGTTTAGTTTCTTGGAGACCAGATAGTAGCATGCTAAGAAGACATCCCTTAGTTGGTTCCAAGTGAAGATTGAGTTGTATGGGAGCTCAGTGAACCACATAGCAGCCTCTCCCGTCAGTGAGAGAGGAAACACTCTGAGACCTATTACATCTAAATCCAAATCAGGCCTCCCTACACAGCTTTTACACACTGCCCTTACCTTAGCTATATGGGCATGTGGATCCTCAAAAGGTAGCCCTGAAAACAAACCTCTGGCAGTGAGCATTTGCATCAGGCTACTAGTTACCACAAAGGTGTGGCCTGTGGGTAGAGGAGGCAAGACAAGTGGCACATCCGTGTCTGCTATGTTATCATAGCCTCTCTAGTATGCTTGGGGCCGTGGAACGGGATTTTTTCCCCTCTGTTGGTGTTCACCTGGAGCATCGGGTAACATCTGACCATGAACATCAACCAGAGATGGGATGTTCTGGTTCGGATCATCATAATTTATTCCCAAGTTTCGATTCATATTGCACAGTGTACGCTCTAATTCGTGATCGTAGGGAAACAAGGGTTCTCTTCCTCTCTGTGTATTTGGCATACAAGGAGGATAGTTCTGAAAAAAAATCAAAAATAATAAAACAAAGTAAAATCAAGAAAATATCAACTAAACTATAGTAATAAGTTCAAGTTAATCTAAAAATTATAATCCCCAGCAACGGCGTCAAAATTTGATACGCTCAAACTTACTTTTCAAATAAGAAGTAAAGCGGTCATGTCAAATAAATAACTCAACTAGTGAGGTTGGGATCGTTCCCACGAGGAAAATAGTCTAGACTTAACTTCAACCAGTTATTACTATTGTTTGGTCAATGACTTCCTTGGAAAGTAAAAACAATAAAAGGGGTGTTTCTAATTCTAAATGAATGAAAATAACTAACGCAATTGAAAGAGACGATGAACAGCTTTGAATGTTGGATTTTAATCAATTAATCAAAGTAACTAGGGTTTACGTGTTCCGCACAGGTTCATAACTTGATAATTCTAACTATAACAATTCTTTCCTAGTATCTTGCATGCAAAGTGATAAGTTATGTATTTCTAAATCCTTGGTCCGGCATCTAGAAAATCTCACTCCACACCTTGGTCCGGCTACGTGCGTTGCTTTCCTAACCCTTATCTTTACCTCATATTAAGCATCGTATTCGATATTTGACTAACTTATCACCTCGTACCAATCAATACTAGCCTATTAGATAGTATATACTAAATCTATGTTGATAATTCTTTTCCTATTATCTACCTCCTTGGTCCGGCAAGTAGCATTAAGGCGAGTTCTAACGTTGGTCATCCGTTAAAAAAAAGTCTTCTAAGCGAAAGAATTATTAATACATGCAAGACACCATTCTATAATTGTTATTTTAGTTAGGTTTTATCTCATTATTTGCCTATGGTTCCCACAACCCTAGTTATGGAGTTAAGTTACTCATGGCCATAAATACAATATTTAAATATATTAAATAAGAGTTCATGTACTTACTTCAATGAGAAAGAGTAAAATCTGAATGTTTTCTTGATTAATCACCAATATTCACTTGCAAGAATCTCAAAGTAATCAATAATCTCACACAAAGTCTAATGATTATCAAGAATCTCACAATACAATGTTTACCAATAAGGAATTTTACAATCTAAGAGTCTAACCTAACCGAGTCCAACCTCAAAAACCAGGTTTTTCGAACTATTTATAAAAAAATAAAAAAAAACTAATTAAACAAGGACTCTGTTTGCTGGAACTCTGCCAAAACGCGGCTGGGTTGACGGACCACGCGACGGATCGTCGTGGTCACGACGGACCGTCGTGGACTCTGTAGGTGGTCTCTTCTGCATTTCTTCGCTTAAACCCCCCCCCCCCATTCATCTTTAGACAGATTTCCTGCAAATAAGGAGAAACTTATATAAAAATTAGCACAAAAAAACTTTTGGACACACTAAACTTATGGAAAAAGTATTAATAATACCGTGAAATCACGGTATATCAGAGTATTGGAGAAAGGACTACTTAGAAGCTATTGGGACTAAGTTGTAAATAATAAAAGTTAGTTGTGTTAGTTAGTAAAGTATAGAAGTTGTTAGGAAGTTAGTTAGGGAAATAGTTAGACTTGTACTGTATATAACATGCTTCTGAACCCTAATATTCATTTAGTTGAATTATGAATTCACGGTAAACTTCATCTTCCCTATTTTCTCTCTTAGCTTAAATCAGTTAACAACTTCTTCAATGGAGAAATCTAACAAGTCGAAACAGAGGAGGTCATTCATTATTTGTTTTGAGGGGTAAAAATGAGTTAATACACTAGCGGTAAGGATATTTTTTATCTCAAAATCAAGCAAAGGTGTATTTGATCCACTTCTAGTTGAGGAATATTTTTTACCATTTCTCGTTTGTATGACTTAATTTTTTTACTTTAGAATCATTTTTAATAGATTTAATTTTTTTTTACCAACTATACATAAAAACAATTTTAAAAAAAAACACAACCACCACTACCCCCTCTCTTACCCCGATATATAACACAACATAAGACCTGATTAAAAGAAGTGATCCATATGATTGTACGTTTTTACATTATAATTAGTTCAATGTTTTCTGTCTTGCTTGAAAATTTCTTAAAGTCAGCCATCACTTTTACAAAACTTCCGCTTTGGTCATATTTTTGAGAGATTAAAAGTATTTATTTTTAAAAAATTATGAATTTTAAGAGAAAATAAATATTTTTGGAGAGTAGAAAAAATTATTTTTCATAAACTAAAAAAAAGCATTTTTAAAAAAATGCATACAATTAGAATTACTTTTTAAAAGAGTGGATAAACATTAGTTATCGTTCAAAATGCTTTTATATTTTACTAACCAAATACAAACTATTTTTTTAAAAAAAATAAATTTTTTTTTTTTGAAAGGCGTTATTGATAAAAATATATTTTTCAAACTAAGTTAAGGAGTATTAGATTATAGAATCGGAGGAAACTTTTGTACCATAACTCACTCCATTACTTTCAACTTACAACATAATATCTTAATGAAAAAAATAGAAATTTTCCACAGGCAACATTTTAAATTTATATGTTATATATATTTTCTTAATTTTTAATTGAGTTTTTTTTTTTTGAGTTAATTAAAAGTTTTTTAAAAAAATAGAAAAGATTTTTAAATTTTATGATCTAAAATTAAAAAGTTATAAAAAAAAATTATTCTTTTTAAAACAAACATTAATAAAATAAATCAAACAAATTAAAATGGAGAGCCTAACTAACGTAATCTTATGGAAGCTTAAATATCGAAGGAATTAATATAAAATTTTGGATTCCCACATAGCTGTCACTGACCCTACCACTTCTAGCACCACCTCTCCACCCTTTGATGTGTCAATAGAGTGCAGTTTTTCCTGTTATATTGGTTTTTGTCATTACCAACTGCGTATACCAAACCCCACCTTTTTTTCTCTCATCATTATATACGTACACACTTGAAATGAAAAAAAATACGTACTTATTAATAATGTATGATTATTATTACTTACATGCTCTACACGTACCACAGCTGTGTATGAATGTAATTAATTAATCATAGTGTAAAGAGTCAACATGATACATTTGCACTTTATGCAACTATAAAAAGGTCATTTTGAACCAACTTTTTTAAAGTGTACAAGTTATAATATTCTTTGAAAATCTACATTATTAAATCATGAAGCTTTCTTTTAAACCATCACCTTCATGCACTTCCAAACAAAACCTCCAACAACATACATTAATCCAGTGTGTCACCATTACTAAACCAGCAAATAAGTTCACAAGAAATATAAATCTCACCAAAAACATCAAAAACATCATCCTTGGCTGGATTACTAATAGTGATGAGAAGACTAGTTCAACATCTTCTTGGACGATGCCTAGTTTCTCTGGACAGAGCCCAGAGAAAATAGGCAAGAATTGGATGGAGTATCAAGGAATAAAGAATTGGGAAGGTCTGCTTGATCCACTAGATGATAATTTACGTGGAGAAATAATTCGATATGGACATTTTGTTGAAGCTGCGTACAGAGCATGCAATTTTGATCCTTCTTCTCCTTCATACGCAATGTGCAAATACTCGAGAAAGAAATTGTTTCATCTTTCTGGCTTTTCGGGTACTGGTTATCGTATTTCCAAGTACTTGAAAGCTACTAGTGGGATTAATCTTCCAAATTGGGTTGATAAAGCTCCTAAATGGATGTCAAAGCAATCAAGTTGGATTGGTTATGTTGCGATTTGTCATGACCAAAGAGAAATAGCAAGACTAGGGAGAAGAGACGTTGTTATTGCCTTACGAGGCACAGCAACTTGTTTAGAGTGGCTCGAGAATCTACGAGCCACTCTAACTCCTCTCCCTAACATTAAACATACCATATGTTGCCCGATGGTTGAAAGTGGTTTCCTAAGTTTATATACATCCAAAATAGACGCGCAACAGAGTCTACAAGACATGGTTAGAGAAGAAATAGACCGAATTAAAAAATTATACGATGGTGAAACTTTAAGCTTCACTATCGCAGGTCACTCCCTTGGGGCCGCGTTAGCGACTCTAACAGCCTATGATATTAAACAATTTTTCAGAGATATACCACTAGTAACAGTCATGTCCTTTGGTGGTCCAAGAGTTGGAAACCATAGTTTTCGATACCATCTTGACAAACAAGATACCAAAATTTTGCGTATCGTCAACTCAGACGATCTTATAACAAAAATTCCTGGATTCGTCATTGACAACAATGACGATGATGATAAATATGTGGAAAAAAGTGATCACTGGATGAAAAGGCTTGTGGAAGATAGTCAATGGGTATATGCAGATGTTGGATGTGAGTTACGTTTAAGTAGTAGTGGTTCACCACACTTTAATGGGATTAATATTGCAACTTGTCATGAATTAAATACTTATCTTCATTTAGTTAATAGTTTTGTTAGCTCAAGTTGTCCTGTTAGAGCTACTGCAAAAAAAATTATGCACAAAAGTAACAATAATGTAAAATGTACGTAATAGAAATGACGATATCAAAGTAGTACTAATTTTAACATTAGCTTTTCATAAAGTCTATTCCTATTTTTTCACCCACCAACCGTCCTTCTATATATCCCTAACAAAACTCAAAAAAGCAAAAACGGTTCTTTTCATCATTGCTTTTGGTCATAAATTTTGAAATTTATTTTTAAATTCATCTGTGTAATCTAACATAAATTTTGAACTGTACTTAAAATTTTATTTTTAGATATCTGATTGGTCATTAGAATCAAACAAATTTTCAAACTTTAAAAACTGATAGGCAGAAATTTCACATTAATTTCCAAGTGAAATGTATATTGTTCAAACACAATTTGAAGTTCCAAAAAATGCAGGTTCTAAAACATAAAATGTTAAATTTCAATTTTAAAGTATATGATCAAACAAAAAGATTTTGTGCTCTTCGATATGACATAACACTTCTATATTGTTATTAAGAATAATAAAATGAGAAATTTAAAGTAAAAAAGTGTTAAAATATAAAAATATGTTATTCCTTTATGAATAGATTTTAAAAGGTGTTATATAAATTAAACAGACAATATATTAAATTACATTAAAATATCACCTCAATCACTATTTTTGTAATTTAAATTTAACTATCCTATTCTAAAACAATCATATCAAAAAACAATATAATTTTCTGATTAGTTACTAAAAATCAATTTTATTTTGACTGAAGGACAAACTGTGTCTTAAAGTCATTGATTCTTTGTTTTAATTTAGTCACTATTTAAATTAAAATATTTATTTTAAAACAATCATATGGTAAAACAGTGTAATACTCTTGTTAGTAACTAAAATTCAACTTCATTTTGAATGAAGATCAATTAATGTCTTAAAGTCACTGACTTTTTATTTTAATATAATTACTATATTTAAACTAAAACATCTTATTAAAAAACAATCATATCATAAAACAATATTATTCTTTGATTAGTAAGTAAAATTTAATTTCGTTTTGAATAAATATTGAATGATGTGTTAAAGTCATTGATTCCTTGTTTTAGTATTGACTTGTAGATATATGTAACAAAAAGTAATTGAATTGTTTGATAGAATAAACGTATAAGTAGATAAAGAAAGTTCAATCAAAATGTACGGACAATCATGTCCAAGAAATATGCATAAAGTGCTTCTCTATTTATAAGGTTAGTCAATAAAGAGAAACAGAAATAAGATGAAGCAGAAAAAATATAAAATAATTTGAATCCATAGAAATTATTGTATTTTTTTAAGAAATTTATCAGAGGATATGGATTAATTTCTCCCAAGATAAAACGGATTAATCCTGTTAAAGAAATAGTGGTACCTCAAACTTCTTTAACTTTAGCGAACTTAAGAACAGCAACAAGTCACACAGAATCAGTCGATCGACACTTTGATTTTGAGAGAAAAATATATATGCAGAGAAGGAAAATTTCAATGTTTGAGAAAACGACAAATGACTTCCTTTTATAGTCATTTTCAGCAAGAAAAGTGTTTGTTCAAACACGTTTTATCCAGAAAGTTGTGTCTTTTGGAAAAAACAACAATTTTTCGGAAAATGTATTTGTTAGGAAAATAATAGCTTTTTGAAAAGTAACAGTTTTCAGAAAGAGTAACAATTTTTCGTAATGTTAGCGTTACCCGCGAATTAATTCTGTTAATTAGTGTTCAGACCCGTTTTATTCAGAAAGTTAGTTAGGAAAATAATAGCTTTTTGGAAAGTAATGACTTTTCGAAAAGAGTAACGACTTTTCGTAATGTTACCGTTACTCGTGAATTAATTCTGTTAATTAGAGCGCCAATGACAGCGTGAGGGGCACCTTCTTCTTAGCTTTTTAAGAAGTAAAGGAAGTGTTTCCTCGTATAAGAACAACAATTTCCCTTTCTTTTACATATATGGAAGAAATTATTTTTCATTTACACTTTGCAAATAACTTTTTATTTTCTCTTCAAAATAGTTCCCACACTTTTTATACATATTCTCTCTTTTTATATTCTTTTCTTTTCTTTTTCCATTTACACTTGTTAAACTCAACCGTTACACTTTTAAGCTGCTTTTGATATCAATGGGTTTACAATTTTCTTAAATTTAATGTTAGTAGGAAAATTTAACGTCCAAATTTTCTAGACAAAACGATTAATATACACCTATGATATTAATTGTCTTGCCTTCGCTCTCATTATCTGCCCCTTCCCCATTTTGAAGGAGGATCCAAAGTAAACTCGTATTATGATTTTGACTAAACATAACAATATTTTACTCTAAATTTTATATTTATCTTAAAATATAATATTAATTAGCAAATAACTAATAATATAAAAAAAAACTTTTTGACTAGAAAATTCTTCTTTTAAGTGTCATTCTACATTAACTATCTCCATCTCACTGTCCAATAGATCGATCAATACACTCCATTCCTTCCCCACACCCATATAATATAGCCCCCATTCTCTAAATACACAAAATTATATTTTCTCTATTTAAAAAAAAGACCTAATTTGATTTAAAACGGAATTTAAGAAAAAAAATAAAATCTTTTAATCTTGTGATTTGTAATTAATATTATTTCAAATTTATCAAAATATTCTTTAATCTTATAATATTAAATATGTCAGGTGAAAAATTAAAATTAAAGTGTTGTCAAAAGAAAAAAAATTAAATCATTTTTCAAAATAAATTAAAAGAAAATCTAAATCATTCTTTTAAAACAAGTGAATGTATTTTTTTTCCAATTTTCAATAATAATAATAATAATAAAAAGTAGAAAAGAGATGGCTAGTGTAAAAAGTAGAAAAATTCAACGGTTGATTAATTCTTTGGTAAAAGGATATATATCATGCGGCGTGATAAATGAATGCTTTTTGCCTCTACTACTTTTGAGATTATGATATGATGTAGTGTAACTTCATAGTGCGTGCTCTCAAAAAGTCTTGTTTTGTTTTACCTGAACCAAATTTATCTTTATTTTACCCTTAAATCTATATTTTAATTACCCACACTGCCATTCAAAACACCGACCCCGTTGGATTACTGTTGGCGCACGTGCAACCGCTTTCCTTCTATATCCGGCGGCCGTCCATACCGAACAAAATGACATAAATACCCTCCCAACCATTCTTTTATTTCTTATACTTTCATGCAAATACGTAAACAATTAGAAACCCATAATCATTCATTTAACAATAGGACAAAAGAATTAGATGCTTAAAAATATATATAAAAGGAATTACATGGATTGGATTATTATTCGATTTTTAGCCATTGAGGCTATACACGTTTAACCAAGAAACTTGGTTAATCACTGTATCGTTTATTATTCAAATTTACTTTAACTATTTGAATTTAATATAATTTTTTGATATCTCTATTTTTTATATAGGAAAATTACAAAATTACTATATTTTTCGCTTAATTAAAGATATATGAATATAATGTGCTTAATTATGAATCATAGCTATATAATGAGAGAAAGGTGAGCGAGATTAGGAGGGAAAGGAGAGAGGCAACGGAGATTCCAGAGAGAGAAGAGAGAGGTGAGAACCGAATATTTGTTATACTCATTGTATCATGTCGTATTATCAATACAATTGATACAACTGATTTTTATCAAAATGAATCAATTGTATTCCTTTTAGGAGGAGAGAGGCGTTTAATCTCGAAAAAAGATGAGCGAGATTGAAAGAGGGATGAGAGAGGATGAATACATATTGTATTCATAGTATCAGTAATATAATTGATACAAATGCAAATACAATTGATATATACAAATATAATTATCTGAATACAACAATACAATTAATTATTTATATAATATATTGAATATAATTATATCAATTATATTAACGAACACATACAACTGAAAGAAATAAATTATCATGATACAATTGATGCATAATACATATACAGTTAATACATAATACAAAATAGAGTTAATATGGAATACACATACATTTGATATAGAGAGGGGAAGAGAGGGAAGCGGGAGGAGAAAGGGACAAGAGAGAGGAGAGAAATTTTCTATAAAATCATAAATATAGCTGTAAATTCTACTTAATATTTTAGATTATAATAATCTTTTCATAAATATATGTCATATGTTTATTTTATTGCCTAATTTTTCTTTTATACATATAATTTATAAAACATATACGAATTAGTGCAACATAATTAGCGTTTGCCCATATCGCAAATACGAGAAAATAAGAATTCTGCTTTCGTAAATCATGTGTTTTTCTCTTCTTTTTTCCCCTGGATCAGACCTACAAATTTATTCATTTCAATAAAATAAAAAAGCGATGTAGTGCGCTAAGTTTTTACCATGGGTATTTAAATTATACGCAAATCTTTCAACATTTAACATGAGATTAAAATTATTTTAGTTAAATATGTTTTAAAATTTATTAACTTGACTTTATTTTTGTTTTCAAAGTTAAAAATCATATTTGAAAATTAGAGTTGTGTTGGTCACGACTCATGAACACAACTTTGATTTTTTTAAATACTTTTTTACTTTTGTGAGTAATTTAAAGTAAAACACAATTTTGTTAATTTCAAATTTGCTCACAAAATTGGAAAGATCTAGTAACTCGAAAGCTTTAACTCCTTTAATGCTTTCAATTAAATTTATTTATATCTCATGAAATTTTATATATACACACACACTAATTCTTATGTCTAACAATAATTGTTCACTATTGACTTGAACATATCTTAAGAAACAACGAATATAGGGATAATACTTGTAATGACTTGTTCGATAATTTATTGTTTTTCATGAAAATTACCAGTTTGCCCTCCCGATATTGACCCTGAGTCTTCTACGATTGATTTTGAAAAGTTGGTTTCCAACTTTGGGTTAAAATCTTGAAAATTTGTAAGTTTTGAGTTTAAAAGGGTAAGTTGTTAAAAAATGAGTTTTGGTGCCTTATTTGAGTTTCGAGTGTTTGAATGAAATTTTGTCATTTCCATCAGTCTCAAAATATAAATTCTG